AAAAATACTTAAAGCAAGTAAATAGTAAGTTTTAATTCTAACTTACCTACTAATGAGTGTTGGGGTCTGCAAAAGTGTTGTGAAAGAGAAGCAAGTGTGTTCTTCAAATTATATAGATGGCACTTATGTAGGTAAAGTTGAGTGTCAAGCTGCTATCTTTGTTATAGCAATTAGTCCAACTTTGCATTTATTTCTCTTTTAAATTGTGAAAAATGCAAAATCTTAAACAAAACCCTGCTTTACGCATAAAATCATTTTAAAGACAATAATGAGTTTAAATTTCTATCTATAAAATAACAAAATTGCCTATACCTGAAGGTAATTTTATAGTTAGTAATAAAAATCCAAAATCATGTCTGGAAAAATTCTGTTATGGCATTAGATTTGTATATTTGTCTCTTAATAGTGTAAATGTATCACAAATGTTTTTTAACGGTGTTAAAAAAACAGTGAACTATCTATTCCGTAGAATAAACAGGAGTAATACAGAGAATATTCTGTAGATGGAATAGGGGTATCACCAATGTCTCGCTAGCTTAGGCTTATATTTGACATGGAAATAGAGTTCGAAAAAAATAGAAATAGAGTTCTGTCTAAATAGAACTAGGGAACATTCGGCAGACGCTCTGTACCTTGGGAAAAAATTCGAGATCTGAGGGTTTTCCCATCAAGTAGATAGAGCAGATCAGTCCTGTGTTCTCGCAGACCGATTCAAACATTCGCCAAAGAGAGAGTTAGTTGATCCCGAACAGCGCTGTTAATTCCAGTCATGGGGTAGAGAAATTTGCGCCAGGCCCCGGCTTCAGAACTTCCTCTTCGCTATGTGTTCCTGCAGAGACATAATGTCCTCCAAGTACTTTTTTAGGGATTCGTCAGTTCCTTCTTCACTTTGTTGCCCACACACTACGCAGTCCTCAGAGAAATGACTCTCGGCGAGACAAAAGGTTTCTTGCCCAACCATTTTGCCTTCTCCCTCCATTTCTACATATTCTAGCTTGTCTGACCACTACTGTTCACTCTCTTCCTTTGGCCACAACATTCCCGGAACATTTATTAGTTATCGCGTCACGTCACCATCACTAAATAAAATAAGGAATCGCAGTTTATGATCTCTTTCTTTCTAGAGGGGAGGGGAATTTTTTCAAAAGACAATCTACTCCTCCAACACTGCACAAAAAAAGGGGGTTGACGGTTCTATACCTCCCGTTCTACTGAGCCGACTGACAAAATTCAACTTGCATTTTTCATGTCCCGAAAGCTCGACTGAGGATATATAGCATTAGTCTAATATAGGTATTTTGACACAAAATCGGACTTTTTCTGAAATTATACATGCCACATTTTTTACATATTTCGATTCTATGACTCAAATTTTGCCAAACTGCCAACTTTTGTAAAATTCGCACGCACGAGTAGTTTTTAAAAGATTAGCTATTAAAATTCTAACTCTTCAATATTAATTGAATTAAGTATGAATTTATTAATCTCGCTTTTTTATTAAACTTATTTAATTCTTCCTTTCACATTTCCAAATTTAGGTTCACTCCAAATAAAATTCGCCCATTTTTTATGATTAATTTTAAAAAATTTTATTTTTAAATAATTTTTATAAATTTTTTTTCAAAAATATTTTGAATTATAATCTATAAAATATTTATCATCATTTGTAGTAGATGTATTTCTAAGCATACCTGCAAAATATGAGACTTTTTATTCAAAATTTCCAACGATATACGGGAATTTATATATTTGCGCGTTTTGAAATTTGGAATATTTGTTGAAAACGATAATAGCACCAAACGTGGTATACACTAGGAACGAAGTGACTTTTTTCTACTCATGCAAATGATGTATAAAGGGGAAGAAAAATAGGTTGCCATATATTAAGAAATTCGTCAAGTGAATTATTGTTGGCGCAAACTGAAAAACAAAATGCCCCAAGATAAATTTTTGAATTTCTCCATATATTTCGCACCAAAATTTACAGAATTTAGGTATAATTTGAATCGGGAAAAAGACTGACATGTCATTTCATAGAAAGTCCAATTTTGTATCAAAATACCTATACAAGTAACCCTCGTATAACACGGTAGATAGGTTCCTAGAAAAGGAAGTGTTGTGTGAAACCGTGTTGTATGAGACCCAGAGGCAGCATAAAAAGGGAGTTTACGTTCCAAAAACTTAGTAAAAACAAATATTTTTTTAATTATACATAAGCAACTTAATTTGTATTAAAATATACATATGTATGTACAACACACACAAAAAAAATATTACATATTTTAATTTAACGCAACTTTAGTTTAATAAAGTTCTTCGTTGTCATTACTCAGTACAATCAACAGAGAATGTTTTTACGGTGGAATGAGATAGCTTTCACTTTCAGAATTTTTTCCTTCACTTAAAGTTTTGGCATTTTCTTCCCTCTTTAAAAAAATTGTAATTTACTAGTTCTTACCGGGTCATTTTGAAATTTCTCGATATAGAGCTAGACAGTTTTGCAGCTTCCTTTTGAATTTTCGGCTTATTTCAGCAGAAGGGCCTGCACACAAGAAAAATAACTCGAGATTTTCAGCTAAGCATAGGCGTTCTTTTAATATTTTAATGTTAAATTATTAACTTCACAATCTTCATCAGTGGTAGTGTCCTCAGAATCGATTTGATTTACAGCTTCGAATGCCATTTCTATCAAATCTGCGTCAATTTCTTCTTTCGCTAATAAATCTTGATTTTAATAAATCCTCAATAACCATGTTCACAAAACCTTCGCCTCCGATTGATTTAGCAAGTTCTAATATGCCGCCGATATCATTTTCTGACGATTCACTCACGTTTTCTATTTCAACTGAAGAAGGTTATATCTTCTAACATGCAATTAACGTTGATGCTTTTGGTTCTTTCAGCTACAAAGATACGATGTCGATTCAGTTCTTGATTGAAAATGTCTTCCAAGCTTCCATTACATTATCGATTTTGAATCGGTTTAAAACTCAATTTTTAAATATATTCCCAGATGCCCAAGCTCTTGGATTTGCTTTCCAATGTACCGGTAAGGTGCTTTTATTTAGGCCTTTAAGTGCGCGAGTATTTAAAGATCTATAAACCAACAAGGATTTTGTCACAAAGTCTAAAGTCATACTGCACAAAAATAGCGTTAGACAATTTTTAGACATCTTAAATCAGGATGCAGTTTTTTCTTTTTTCGATATAAACGTTCTACTGGGAATTTTTTGTTCCACCAAAACCCAGTTTTATCGGCATCGTAAACTTGAACTGCTGTGTATACTTGTTCTTCTATAATATTTTGGAATTTTTCAGGAAACACGCTAGCAGCTTCATAATCAGTCGATGCAGATTCTCCTTGATTTCTTATGCTATGAAGTGCAAAACGCTTTTTGAAATTTTCGAACCAACCTTTACTTACCAGAAACTCTGGCTTGACAGAGGGTTCTCCATGTTCTTTAAGGTGCTTGAAAATTTTAATGCTTTTTATTTAATGATATTACCATCCAACGAAATTCTTTTTTGACTGTTATCATCAATTCAAATGCTGAGTGCCTTTTCCATCTTCTTAATTATTGTCGCCCCCGGCAACGAACTGCACATTTTTCGGATGTCGAAGATCCTGCAGCAGCTGCACTTCTTATTTCTTATAAGAAAATAATAATTTGGAATAATAATTTGCTCCAATAATAATTTGGACTGTTTCTTCATTCCACTTAAAACTTTTTCCAATGTAAGATGCTTTTTCTTCTTTTAAAAGATGGTCCAAGATTTGTATCTGAACTTCTAAAGAAATGAATTTCCTCTTAAAAGTTTTTTATCTTTATCGGACATGTTTGGGGACTGAAACTTAATGTCTTAAAGACGAAAAAGATATTCTTTAACATACCGTGGCTCGACGCAGACTGCCGACCAGCAGCATGAGATGCTTATGTTTTCAGGCTATGCAGAGCAGGATTTGAATTTTGGAAGCCGAACTTGCAGGTTGTGCGTTTTAAAGCACTTATTGTGACCTCATGTTGTTCACCTTCTGCGATAGTGAGGTTTCTTCATTCTTATCTGGGGACATTTGTTCATACGGGTCATCTGAGGACATTTGTTCTTACGGCTACCGGATCTTGGAAGACAACTGGCAGAACTTACGAAACAAGGCTTCTTATGTGTTAAATGACTGTACGGGTGCTTTGCATAATATGGAAAAACTTCGTGCGGAGTTCATTAAATTTCTTCGGATTGCTCGAACAATTTTCTTATCATATTAGAGCGAAATCCTGTTGTAGGAGGGTTCTCGCAATTTATGAATCGTGTTATAGTTAAACCGTGTTACAGGTTGCCGTATTGTAGGAGGGCTACCTGTATTGGAACAATGCTATATATACATCTAATATATATCCTAAGTATCTTAATACATATCCTAAGTCGCTCTTTCGAGACATGAAAAACGCAATTTGAATTTCGTCAATCAGCCTAATAGAATGGGAGATGTAGAACTGTTCTATTTTTTTCTCCGCAGTATACAAGGTTTCATATTAACTGGATCGAAGATATTTGAAGTAATACTTTCGAAATAATACAAAAAAGCAATTTTCTCTGTTTTTTAGAATGTTTTCGACCCCATTTCATGCTCCAATATTATCTATAATAATCATACTTTAAATCTACAAAATTTTAAATCTACAGTTTAATTATTTGAATGCTCTTACATTATTAACATTATTATTATTTACCTTACAGTTTTATGCAAATAATTACAAACGAGTTCTTCCAGTTAAAGTTTAAATAAATAAGGAATTATAAATTGACATTAGAATTACGCACCGCAAAATTTATTAAAAATGACATAACACTAGCGGTGTGCTAAACAGAGTGGCTTATACTAATCATAAAACTTCGTTAGTATTAAATAAATTGAATCTGGTATCGTTAAACTGAAATAACCTGAGATGTTTTCAGTTTTATTGCAGTTGCTTATGTAGGTAATTTTCTTTCTCTTACAGGAAAGTCTTTAGAAGACACCTACTACAATTGGCAACGGCGCAGGAAACGAGCGCTCTACCACAAATGCAGGTATTGGAGTTGTTTTTGCCGGGCTTCGACCGTGTGTTAAAACTCCGGTGATTTTCCAGAAGCTAAAAACATGCTTACTGTGTGATTTAGAAAAGAGGATTGTCGGACTTTCAAACTATGTAGCAGAAGTGAACCTGTCTAGAATTTGTAGTGTATATTAAGAAAAAGAAAACCATTCTGTGAAAATTTTTCTGCAACATTTATAGAAAACATTAGTAACTTATTAAGAAATGTAAATTATAATTTTAACAATAATGATATTTGGAGATCGCCGGATAAAATGAAATCTTTGATAATACTCTGAGACCGTCCATACTGATCGCTTCCTAAAGAAGTGCTTTAAGAAAAACACAAACATCTCGCAGCTAATGTAGAGTGGGAAAAAAATATTGTGTGTCTAAAATAACGCATTCACAGTATCTGAAGGTAAAGTTTGAATTCCAACGAAACTTTAAAGTGATCTGGAATGGGAACTCAACTGCAAGTGGAATTTGGATAAAAATTATGACAATAGTCTTCGGCTTTGAAAGTTTCAATGTTTCCCTGCAAATCCATGATATTCTCAAGATCAGTAAATCTTAAATAATTATTAACCTATGTTGACATTTTTAGTTCAGGAACAATTTTCCCTGATATTGCACTGTTAAAGCAGTCTCTTAGAAATAGCCAAAACTGGAAAAACCTGCAATACCAGCAATAGTAAATATGTAACAACAGTATTGTTTCATATAATATATACAGAGATACATATATAATATATTTTGTGAGCAATTCCGAAATTAGATGCTATGCCAAAACTTTGCCATTTTCTGATATTTTTAGGCGAAAAAAGATAGCTATGGACATCGGGAGAACAAGAGTAATTTATAATATAGTGTAGTATGTATAATGTTTAATGTGTCATATATTCCTTGTTTAGCAATTCAAAATTTTCTGTGACTTGTATTTTTAATTTTTTTATATGTTGATAAACTTATTTCTCCCCATGTGCAGAGCTATCTGTTTGAGCTTAAAAAATAATAGAATGGCACAAATTCAGCCTTGCGCACATTAAACATTATATAGTATATTATATTAATGAAGAGGTTCACCTTTTAAAAACTGCTTTTTTTTTAAATTTTTTAGTACCTGATTTTCTTTTATGTGGTAGCTCAGAAGTTTTCACAAATGACAAATGTAAACATACACAGCTCGCCTGAAACATTTCAGAACTAAATTCGTACAAAATTGGAAGCTGAAAAATAGAGAATTTTCTTAATTCTTATCCTTCCGCATATTACAGTCCTTGGCACATTGACACAGCTGCGTAATTTCTTCCTAGAACTCATCTTTTGGAAAGTTTTGGTTTCTTTTAATTTTTTCATAGGTATTAAAACAACGACCTTTCAACCTTTGAAATGATCTACAGAGTTTTCACTTACTCTGCAGATGCTAAAACTTGTATATAATGAGTTGAGAATTATGGCACCTGTTTCCCAGAAAGTGCAACTACTGTCGAAATTTTTTTCAAGAATTTCATCTTTTCAGTATTGTCAAAGGTTCATCATCAACATCTCCGCGTCGTCAAAAAATCGTCCGTGGCAACGGACATCATCAATTAGTTCCTGTTAATGATGAATTTTTATATGGCCTCACATAGCATTTCAGATTTCTCCACCGCTGTTTTTCAACCCTTTATAACATAATTTTGATTGCCGTTATTTTCTCATTTTCCAGTTCACACAGCAGGATCAAAGCAAACGATTAACAACATGGTAAATTCTGTCCGTAAACAGAGGATGCTTTAAATGAGGAACAAAAAAAAAGCAAGTTGAGTTTGTACCGTAATAGATCCTTTCAATTATCCTTTTATAATTTTACTGTCATTTGTTAAGGAATTAGTCCTAAAACCTTGGATACACAGTGTGTATACAACGCTTCTTTAAAAGATTAGTCGTCAATTAATGTGTTCTAAAATTAAACTTCAGCATTTAACACAGTTATAAAATAAGTGTGTAGAGACATTAGGCTAATTGGAAGCAGGAGATATGAAAAATGAGCAACGCCTTTGCCGGGAATCGAACCACGGACCTCTGGATTACGCGCCCAGCGTGCAGACCATTACACCACGAAGGCAAGCTAAGAAGGCGGGAGAAATACCCTATAAGCGTTAAGAACGAAGTAATGTAAAATCCAACAGAAATGCTCTCAGCAACTGTAAATATTTAATAATTAAAATCTAACTGCAAGGAAGTTCTATAAATAAGTAGAAATAAATCTCAAAATTTAATTTTCAAGATGTAAATTTCAAGATGTAAGTTTATATTGCCGTAATATTTAATATATATATTTCAGAAAATAAGAGAGTTATATGCTTTATGTAAATAATCTATAAGCAAGAGCCAAATTGAGGTTACAGTTCATATTTTCTGGAATATTTGTAGAAAAGCACGATGGATGAATCTTTGATACAACTTAAAATTTATAAGAGTAAGTTATTCACCTTGTATTTTTGTGTGTTAAGATGAGTAGTATATAATACTGAGTAGAACTCTTTTAGTAATTTAGACACTTCAGACAACCTTGAATACCCGTCTAGTGCTGTGAAATGTGTATTTAAAAAAAGCCAAAAGACAAGTACTTCATTTGAATGCATAAAAGATCATCTAAAGTTATTATATATGAATGGTAAAGTTGGGACTTAATTGCTATTAGAAGGTCTGAACAATTTAATGCTTCTTCTAATATCGTACATCAGGTATGAAGTGGATGGTACTTTGATGAGCCATTGTAATGTTAGCAATAAATGTTGACACTGATATTTCGTGTTTTATGAAAATATTTTCTTATCTTCTACTTCTGTCCAATGGCTTCTTCGGCAACATTTTACGGTTCAATATCTTTGCGGATATAACAGCTAGCTTACACAACTACTTACTTTATTAGAGTAATACATTAATGTAACTGAGTCAAATATTGGGTAAACAACTTAAAATATGTCCATTATAGAAGGACTGTGTGTATAAGTTACATCTTAAGACCTAATGAGTTATTAAAAGGTATTAAAAGTATTAATCAATTATTAAAAGATAAGGTGAGAGGTGAGAATATACACTAGTATATAAAACTTCAGCAATTTTTCTGATTTTTGGCAGTAGTTCCGCAAAAAAAAACCAAAGAGCCTTAGTAAGGGATAGGACGTTCCTTAATAACAACGGTTATGTTGCACCGTCTGTCGATACTCAACACTAGATTATTTGACAGTTCTTGGGGTCAGAGTTTCCCATTCTTCAAGGAGCTTCTGTTTCAGTTGTCTGGTGTTTTTTGGAGTTACAATCCTGCCGTTAGGCATCACCAAAATCATCCACATACGTTCAGTGGAATTTCAGTCAGGGAGCACACTGGCCAATACATTCTGTGAATATCTTCATTTTTAAAAAGCTCCTCAACAGAATGAGTCCTGTGTAATAGTTTATTGTCATCCACCTTCCCACATAAGATTGTCAAGACCACCCCAACAGTCTCATTCTCTAATGTTAGTGGAATGAAAGCGTGTTCCTCAACTGGGGCCGAGAATTATTCATGAGACTGAAACGACTGTCATCGGTAAAGAAGACGTGACTCAATTAAGGAAGTGTCCAGTCTTTATGCTCTTTACACCACTGTGCCGTCGATGGGTTTCTGTCAATGGTATGCAACATTTAGAATGGTGGGTGAGTATGCCACCTTTATAAAGTCGTCTGATCACAGTAAATCGAGATACCTGTCGCCCGGTCGTCCTGAGCAACTGCTGAGCAATGTTGACCGCTGTCTCGTTTCGATCTCTTTTCGCCTGCAAGGCGATATATTGGTCATCAATCGCCGTTGTTTTCCTTAGCCGGTAACCACCAATCTTTCTCATAGCTGTATCTGTAATTTGAAAAGCTTTCCAAGCTCGTGAACAATACTTTTATCATTTCCAAGCTCTTGGGAAACAGATGTAAGACTACGCCGTCAAGCTTGCCTGTCATTCTTCTATGCATAAAGGAATAATGATGTTTTCTTGTAGCCGTACTACACGTATATCTCACTTTCAGAAGAATGCGTGGAAATGCGCTTTCATCTTTTCGTGCTGCCTTTCACTGCGCGCAATGATTCCTCGCGTTTTGCGTGCCCTGTGGGTATCTTCTGACGGCATTGTGCTGATGCTTACATATGCGCCCTTTCTGCCGAGTCGGCTTTTCATTGTACTAATCGCAAAATACCCTTTTTAACAATTTCTTAGTTTGTACGTTGGAAATTAAATTTGCTGCTTAAGTTTTTTTGCATACTAGTGTAGCAGAAAAAGTGGTGCTATCATAAACCCGCAAGAATAAAATTTAGAAAAAAATGCTATAAATGAATCCAAAACGATATATTTGACATTTATATAGCTATCCTATCATAATAACTGTTGTAGCTGATTGATTTATATGGCCACTAGCGGAGCTGCAGAACTGTGGCCTTTATTAAATTCATATCTGTCAACTTTTAACAAATTTTGTGTAATTCTTGCGATGCCTAACGTAGTTTTATAGTCTGAAGTCAGAGTAGTTTTTTTTAGGGGGGGATGGAAACTTAAAGGGAACTTTTAGCAAAAACAATGAAATTAATTTTTCACATGTTTGAAAATTTTGAAACAGTTACACGGATCATGAAAAGGGAAATTAGACAAATAAAATTGATTTTAACAATTTTAATTTAATTTTAATTTTTGCTTCTGCAAAAAAATAATTCAAAAACTGCGCTTTGAAATATTCATCGTCTTATTTAAATTCAAGAACAGGGTATTTAAAAATTGCCAAAATCAAAGATAAAGATATTTTTAAACATGACATAAAAGGAAAGAAATTGTGGCAATTTGTCGTTTGTCGTTAACGCGTACTCTCTGCAGACATTCGGGTTATCGCTTGTATTTCTTTTTTTATTATATCAAAAATAAATCTTCGTTTTTGTGATATGAATTCTTTGTTGTGTATTTACAAGTTTCAGTTGTTATCAGCCGTTGGCAATTTCAAGACAGATTTGTGTTAAACTAGTTTGCTTCAAAATTTGAAAATTTCATAATGATTTTTTTACAAATATAATAATAGTATTGCAATATCTTTAAAACAGCACTGATACATTAAACTAAATTTTCGTATGAAAATAATATTAAAATGAAACTTTTGAATATCATGTTTAAAAATAACTTTATTTATTTTGGCAATTTTTATGTACGCCCGATTCTTAGATTGAAACAAAAGGATAAATATTATAATTTATTTTTGAATTATCTTTTGCAGAAGCGAAATAACTATTGTAAATATTTTAAATGTGTTAAAAAATAATTCTGCTTTCCCTATTTAACTGTTATAACCAGTCTCAAAATACTCAGATATGCTTGGAATTTACTTCACGGTTTTTCTTGATTTCCCCCCCCCCCCCGAAAATCTTGCAACTTTTTATTTTTAGAAAGTAGGCAAGTATGAATGATTAAATAGTTTAAAAATTTCTTCGTGGTAAGTTTGTTTGGAATTGAAATATTGAATTGTTGTAATGATCACAACGACACTGACAGACACAAATTTGAATGCCATTTTTATAATAAACAATCTGTTCTATTCCTTAAGCTGAGAAAGGAAACTAAACACGCAAAGATACGAAACACGTGACAAAAACATATCACTCATAAATAAGCCCACGAATCTTTTATTCTTCGGAAATGAACAAGTGTATATTTTCTGCCATGAAAAAAACAGTATGAAATGCCACACTTTTACAGACTCAATAAATGCTTCTGGATAATGAAGAACCGAAGCGAACATACTCTAGTAATCATGGAAGTCGTCTAAGTGTACAGTTTGTTCAAGTGAACGAACGGGAGATTGCAATCTCAGTATATCACAGACAGGAGTATTTTCTTCGGAATTTTGGCTTCTAGCATCGATCAAAGAGAACTTTATTCAAAAAATGGACTTGACATCCTGAAAATTCAGGAAAGTAGATTCTCATTTTCTTAGGGAAATATGTTGTTTTACATTATGACTGATACTATGAAATAAATAAAAACGTTTGTAGAATCCTACGTGTGTCTGAAAATATAAAAATAAAGTATTCTTTTTCTTAATGTAAGTTTCTTTTTGTGTCTTATTTTTATGAAAATGGTCGAAAGAGAATTGTGGATTTGGTAACGGAAGACAATGCTTTCATGCCAAATCAAGGATATTTCTCCATTACATTGACACCCCATTTTCATACCTGCTAATGTTTATAAATTCGTAGAGTCACCAGGTTATTTTTACTCATATAATGTAAAAAATGTTCAGTGCCCTCAACGGAACTCGGACCTGGATATCTCGAACATGCGTCGAGTGCGCTACTGTTACACCACGAAGGCAGGGAGAAAACACCTTCTAAATATTTCATAAATTTTATAAGTAGCCGCTTTCGCAACCATCCTTCATTCTGGCATACAACTGGTTGAATTTCGCAGTCTGAAGGCTAGCGGTTAATAATAATAATAACCTAGAAAATCTCTTAATTTATGTGCTTTATTATTATTGTTTTAAAAATGGGACGAATTCTTTGGCCCATATATCCATATACTGTGAGGGTGCGTAATAGTTTGAATGCACAGGTCTGAAAATAAGTTAATAAAATTTATTTTTATCAAAATAAATATTTCAGAACTCTGGAAGTTTCCACAGAAATATTAAAATAAAAAATAAAAATACAGGGTTCACAGTAACACACAGTATAATTAGTAGTTACACTTCAAATTACTAATAACATTAAACACAATGCAATGCATAGCGCATCTAAAGAGAAACCTAACTCGGATATATCTCAGTTCACGCGGAACTACAAATCGCAACAACAATAACTAAGCAACTGAACTCAGGAGCTTTCTTTCCGGGCTTTTATAGTTTTCAACCAGTCGCCGAGATATTTCTAATACTTTCTGCATCTCGAAATTACCGAATGGTTACAGTTAACATAGTGGTCAATTACATTACTTCAATTTCAGTACATATTACGATGATGCAGGGACCAGACCAAAGTGTCGTCAAATTTGGCGACAATTTGGCGACAAAAAATCGCCAAAACCGTTGTCCACTTCGCGATGTCTAGCCAAACTACCGAGATACCCATTTACTGAATGTTAAATGCATTTGTCCTTGTATTCTTACTTTACCGACGTAGATTTGTTAAGATTAAGACTCTTAAAGATTTGTTTCGTGTTAAATTAAACCGAAAAATACAATAATTTCACAAATAACTACACTAAAATCATTTATTTATGTACAAAATTCGTAACAATATGCATTTTTGGATGTTCTAATTTTAACTATCGCAATAAAATTAAGAAAATAACTTTCGGAAAGAAATCTCGATAAATCATCAGCATGTAAAACAGAAAATAATACTTATAAAATGAAAATCATTATAAATGAAGCTAAAGAATTTTTCACTGGAAACAATATTAAAAGTATATGTCCTTAAACTAGTTTTATACAGTATATCTCAAAAGAAGAATGAAATAACTAAAATAAAACAAGTATTAAAAGCAAAATCCGTTATAAGGAAAGAAAATAGCATTTATAAAACTGCAGAAAACTTCAATAGTAAGCCTAATTTCTTCATTCTTCTATTGAATTTTGTTATTTTTCTTTTAAGGAGAAGACCATTAGAATCTGCGAACACTGGTTATTGATATATGACAAAAGGCTACATTTTCCCCCTTGGAATCGAATTCAGATTGAACTCTCAGTATTCAGCGGTCATAACCACTGATCCTGAGGAATACACACGCAGTTTACACAGATCAAAATGAAGTTAGACAGCATTCTAGAGTTATATATGTATATATGTTCTATGATCTTAAATTCACTTAGTGCGAAATCGAGTTATTCTACTACTTGCACAATTGCTGCAAAGTAAGTTAATAATAATTTATTTACTAAAGAAATACTGATTATATTATCTCCTATGATTCATTTTAGTAGAATTATCTTAAAAGAGGGAATCCATAGTTAGTAAGTTCAATTTCGAAAATTGTTTTAAAGTAACTTGAATGTAAATTGTTAAAAATGTTTAACGGGACTTGAATTAAATCATGAATAACGAAATTTCAATTGTAAAAAGTATTAAATTAAAAGCAAGTAATCATTGCCATTGATCGGAAATTAGTTGACTTTTCAAGGGGAACAAACCAACTCCCGTTCAATGAACAATAATTAAGAAATAAATACGAAGGTGTTTCGTCCTTTACTCAAGTAATAAGGCGATGCCAAACCGGCAATTCAAGCTAGGTCAAATATTTCCGTGAATAGAAGGGATCAAGAACCAATGCAGAGCACCAAAGAACTCATTCCGATTAAGCATTTTCGCTAATTCAATTTTGAGTGAAAAGCAATTTCTGCAGTAAAATTGATATTACTCGAGTAATTGTCCCCCGACACCCTCGTGTTTATGCATTTTAATTCACAACTATTTGTAAAAATTAAACATTGGAAATTGGCATTATGAAATAGAACTCAAAGTAATTGAAATAAACATTAGAAAATTACAAAATATAAGAAATATAATGCAATCTTTGCAAAAACAAATCAAAAAGTAAAAATTAAAAATTGAAATTTAAAATATATATAATAAGAAAAGGGAATGTACATGAAGATATAAAAGGCCAGAAAAAGGCATTAATTAACTTAGGTTCTTTCTAGTGGGAAGTGGGCAAAGTGTTTTCTTCGCGTCTGACTCAGAAGGGTTTTTACATCTTCATGTACATTCCCTTTTCTTATTATTTATACTTTAAATTTTAATTTTATTTTTTTAATTTTATTTAAAAATAAAAATTAAACGCCTTATTACTTGAGTAAAGGACGAAACACCTTCGTATTTATTTCTTAAGGGAGTTGGTTTGTTCCCCTTGAAAAGTCAATTAATTTCCGATCAATGGCAATGATTACTTGCTTTTAATTTATTTCTTTTTACAATTGAAATTTTGTTATTCATGATTTAATTTAAGTCCCTGTTAAACATTTTTAACAATTTACATTCAAGTTACTTTAAAACAATTTTCGAAATTGAACTTACTAACTATGGATTCACTCTTTTAAAATAATTCTACTAAAATTAATCTTAGGAGATAATATAATCAATATTTCTTTAGTAAATAAATTATATATATATATATATGTATATATATATAATTAAGGGTTTGAAAGCATTCAAAAACCCAACTATCAATAATAAGACCCGAATTTTAGTTTTTATTTCTTCTTTCACATAAATGTCCCTTTTTTTTCTTACATTTTTGCTTTAATGTAGTTCATATATTAATTTACTTTGTGAAATTCGAGTCAGGAGCAGTAAATGCTTTATTCTCAAAGCATTTACTGCTCCTTTTCTATATATATAATGTATAGATATTAAATGTGTTTTGACCACACTTTTTGTCTTGAAATATTTGTCTATTTTGGGGAGGGTGGTGTCGATGTAATATTTTTCGCTTTATTAAAGATTGTCTGCATAAAAGATCTGCATTACTCTCTCTTGGCCATAGTTCTACCAGCCGCACCATTAGAAAGACTTTCAAGGCTCCATTCCTGGGCCCTTTCTGTAGAATTCAAATATGAATAATTTTCTCACTAGGTTCTCAGATTGTACGGGTTGAAAACATTTGCTTTTGCTGATGATAGATGTAGTGTTCCGATATTCTTTTTAATACGGCTCAGAACACTATTAATAGAGTTTCAGATTGGTCTAGAGAGCAGGAGCTGGAATTTAATTTCAATAGATTTAAAATTAAGATAGTTAAAACGAACAATTGTATTTTGTAATTTTTTTCTAGAATGTTGAATAAAATTAAAAATTTAGTCATTACACGTGATAATTAAGTTTGGCTGAAAAAATCCTATCATATATTTAAAAAAAAAAATGTATGAGAATATGCTTAGAAGACTCAATCGTATTTCTTGTAATACTTTTGATTTAAAATTTAATGTTATTGGTATGATTTATAAAGGGTGTATAGGCCCTTTTGTTTTTTATGCTTTCTATGAATGTAGATAACAGCTTTAGAAAATAAGAGTAATTCCAGTATTCTTCGCAAAATTCGAAGAATAAGTTTAATTAAAGTTTTATGTGGCTACAGAACAACTAACTATGACGCTTGACATAATAAGGAATTCTAAAATAACATCAGAAAACTCATGTTCAATACTAAGGTGTTGTTTAGGATTTATAAAAAAAATTGACTTTTTTGAAAAACCGGTTTTCAAATTCAATATTTCCAAAAAACCGGTTTTAACCGGTTTTCGAATTTTTGTCAAAAAAATAGAATAGAGAAAAATGTTTTACTTAAATTATATAAAACAACAAAAAACGAAATCAATATAAAAGTCAAAATATTTTTTAAAAATTAATGATTATATATACATAATACTTACACAAAATAACGAAATCAGTTTCAAAGTCAAAATTTTGAAAAAAACTAAGGATTACATATACATATTACGGTGACCGGAAAAGTGCCCACAGGAAAAATGCTCACAGAATAATGTCCACATGTATAAAAGCTTATAGGAAAAAAGCCCACAAGGAAATATGCCCACATAGAAAAAAGCTCCCATGGAAAAATGCTCACTTAGAAATATGCTCACACGTGAAAAACTCACATGAAATACGTTCGCATGGACAAATGCTCACATTAGCTTTTTCAAGGGTGGTACATAAAAGCATGAAAACTGTAGTAAAATTTGCATGTACTGTAATATTTTATACCACTGCCCCTGTACGACAATTTTTTCCTGTAACTGCCAATAATTAATTTCTATTTTCTTTTTCTGACTCTATTTTTGCATACTTTTGATGTATATGTATATAAATTGATGTTTGAATGTAGTTATTCAAGTTTGGAGCCAAAAAAGTTGTAAAATTTCTGCAGAAATTTAAAATTTTAGAAATAAAATTAACATTGATGAAGCCTCTCAGTTGAACAATATGAAGCAGCTTTCGAAAAATCTCCTAAAACCTCAAATTGTTGCGAAGGCTCTCATGACGCACTAAATTCATTATTTAATTGTAGCCATCCCAGTATGCGGTTTTATTTGACGGATTGAAAAA